TCGTTTTAGATGGTGTAGGAAAGCATTTCGCTTCAAAGAGATGATTGAACCAAGGGACCAAAATCCTCATGTATATATAGATGTTCTCCCATCAAGAACATTTATCATCACCAACTCATAACGTTCAAGAATTAATTCAAATTTGTAACGTTTGGACCATAATGAAGAACTTAATGATATTAAATATTTAATTTAATAATAACGGTTTCATGCATAAAGAATAAGAAACTGAAATCATTTAAACCATAATAAATAAAAAAATTCATGATAATGAATTATGAATCTTAATAAGAACGGTTACGTTATTATTAAATAAGATATTTAATAATAACCGTTACTGTGGTCATCGACTTTTCCAAGTCGAACACCTCATTTTATGAGTTCCATAGCATGTAGCCCATCGCCACATCATGATCATCCTCACATCGATTTAGATCTATGATGTGGTCATCGACTTCTCCAAGTCAAACACCTCAACGATTTTATTGACTAACAACGCACCATATTCGTACCCTAACAAAACTCCGACGAGCACCCTCAACAGCAAGGTGATGAAGTTCATCCTATCATCGAAGAAGACTATGAATGAACCGAGGATACCGTCAAGCTTAATCAAAACTATTTGGTAGTGGACGAGAGGAAGGCGATGGTGACGAGGTACATCGTGATGTATGACTACACAGAGCGCGACGAGCAACCCGACACACCTGTACATCAACGGGAAGAGATTCAAAGACCCAACGACGAAGATGCTGAAATCGAGGAACACCGAGGTGTGGGAGGTGATCAGAAGATCAGCGCGGTGGAGTGCAACATGCAACGTTGATTTATGGTCATCGATCCAAGCTGCAACATTGATCCAAGCAATAGATGTGAAGGAGACGAATTACGTATAAACTTCCTGTAATCGTATTAGATGTTGATGTGTCTCGATTTATGGGCTTCACTCTCTCTTCATCCCCGACCATGTAAAAGCTGTTGTTACTGCTTTGGTGATCCTACTAAGACTGTGGTCGAAGCACATAGGAAGTGCTGCTGTCCGAAGACATTAGAACAATGGAAGCATAATTAGACTGTCTGTGGTTGCACTAACCCCATACCTTCGTTCGACATGTAGCCATCGAAGAGCAGTCTCGTTGATTCGAAATGGCACGATGCCTAACCCGGCAAACAGGTGGCGCAGGTGATGAACACTCGCAGGGCAATGTCAGACGTAACCCGGCTCGGCCTTCTGCATCAAACCGATCATTAATATGGGACTAACCTACCTTTGGAAATTTTGTAGAAATATGCATCCTCATATCACATTATTAATTAAAATTATTTACAATTAATCATAATTTTAATAAAAAAAAATAAAATAAAAAAAATTATTTGCTAGCCTAATGATAGATCCTAATCCATACAAGATAGAACTATGTGACATGTGGACCATAGTACTAATATTTCAAATATTGGTTTGATGATTATATATTAAGAAAAGGGATATGACTCAAATCTATGTATAGGTACGCAATTGGTGTAGGTGGGAATGACAGATATTTGACTTTGGGGTTGACTAGTTTAGATGATAATAAGCCCTCTCTCTCTCTCTCTCTCTCTCTCGTCGCCGACTCGCTTATGGCGTCGGATACCCTGACGGAGTACGAGCGCCGGCGGCTGGAGAACATCCGCCGTAACGACGAGATGATGGCCTCCCTCATGCTCGGCCGCAAGGTCTCCGACGTCGCCGCCACCCTCAAGCGCACCCCCTCCGACACCTAGATGATAAAAACCTTGATAGGTCATCGTAAAATCCTGGATTCAAATCTCTATCTTCATCATGTAGTTAGGTTATCCGAGAAGCAGCTGATGCCACTGCTGTGCCTGGGTTACGTCTACCACTGCCATGTGAGTCCTCACTTCCTTTTCCTACCCATCGCGGAGCTCGTTTATCTGTTGGACACGATGGAATGGCATGGTCACGAATAAGCATGAATAGAACGCTGAGAAAGCACAGAACACGCCATCGAAGAGTGCGCTATAAAGAATTAACTAAACACTGCAGATCGGAAAGGACGTATGTTCCTTTTCTACCGTCGGTGTATGTGCGTGCGTGACACAGAAAGTTGAGCAAATCCATGCATCACTGCGAGATGAAAACACGTAGAATGTGTTTTATGTATTACTACTTACAACACATAACCTTCGATTAGTGCACGATTTATATGTTAAGAACTTTGTCTACAGGCTTTTATATAGGTAGGATGGGGGCATGTAGATGTGGGGGTAAAGAGACTAAGACTTACATACTGGCCGAGTCCTCCAGCTGCGAAATGGACTTCGTGTCTAAGGTTTCAGCAACTCCATTCGCAAGGCGGATTCCATATCGGTTTTGATGGAATTGGGATCCATATATAGTAACATACACAGACACATTCACAGGCAGGCAGCTGCGGTACATCTTTCCTAGTTGTACTCCTCCTCCACGCCTTGTACTGCATGCAACAGTGGAGGACGAACATTAGTAGTACTGCATGTCTCGTGTCATAAGTTGATAGTACACGATCGGTTGTAGGAAGGGACTGATACATGTAATTACTCGTTGACCGAGTCAAGGAGCGCCTCCTATTAAACCAGTAATTATTACCAATTCTATCAGCCATATCCATCGGAATTATGCCATTCACGTAAGTGGTTGCTCGATTACTATTGACAGAATTGGGGGGCCAGCATCTGTCGTACTACTACTACTACATGTCCATGTGGTGGTAGCACCGGTACTTTGGGATGTGAATCTTAATTTGCATGTATAACACAGCACGGATCATTCAGGTCATGTGCCAGCATAATCGTATGGTCTCAGCTTGATCAAGCATATTGGGTTGGTAAGGTCTTGTCCGGTAGAGTCCATGTTTTGGCTTCGTGCATCACATTTGAGATTATATAAGGATCGATGATTGTCTTCTCGTTGCACTGTGGATCGATTTGTTTCTTTGCTAATTTGGCACCCTTCTTTTTTTATTTATTTATTAATGGAAAGGCATTTATCTGGTCTCATGATTCCTTGTTTTAGATTATGATGTGGTAGCTGTGTACTTGACAATGATAACTACTCGAGAGCTTCATGTGTACAAGTTGGATGTCGTATCCAATCATATCATAATGATTCTTATGATCATGAGAAGATTAGATATTTCTAATTCCTACCTTATAAAAAAAAAGATTTGACATCTCTTAGAAATCATGATTTATTATGTGATTGATTTGATTATCTTTCACTATAAACCCTTGGGTTATGATTTACACAGCAAATTTCAATTTCAGTGCGATCCAAAGGTTTTATATAAAATAAATCATTTCTTAACAGCATGATATTTTTCGGAAATATCGTTGCCCCTATGAGCGTGACAATAGTTTCGAAAATTTCTTTTTATGTTTGGAAAGAGATGACAATTTGGAAGATGAATGATTCAGAAGAGACCATTTATTCCAATTGGGTTGTGTACGTATGATGCAGAAATTGGAGAGAGTATTTATTGTATTCCAAAATGTTATGATGCCAGGGTAAATCATATCTATTTATTTGAGATAATGAAGTTGATGCTATTTGTCCTGAAATGATGACTGATAAGAAGAAGCGATGAATCCCTAAAAGGATCAGGAGTAGAACTTGCAAATGCACAAAAATCTTTCCTAAATCTGTTTCAGCCAACTAAAGCTAAAAAACTTGTTGAGTAGATTAACAGAGAATAAGATGGTTTCTATTGATCTGTTTGTCCTTGATATATATTCAAAGGATTTCCCCAACACCCCCAAAAGAGTATCTCCAACAAAAGGATGACGTACAAAAAGGCTTGGGTGATGCCTTTATCATTCTCAACCTTATTAAGCAAGTAGCAATCCTTTAACCACGATGATCAAGCCTTCTTCAAGTATAACTCTCCGCCTTCAATTTAATTTCTGGGTTCCTAATATCATCTTGGCTCTGTACCAATCGGATTTCTAGACTGCTCGATTGTGGATCAAAACCTGCGGTCGTGTAATCTGCCAGTGTTCGCTGCAACACAGCCTGCAGATATCAAAAACGTTATCACATGCTGGAATATGGGTGCGCTCGGAGCACCTAATGAAACATTAATTTGTGAAGTTGAAAGTACTTGATTCAAGTCATAATACAAACAAGTTTGGTTTGGGTTTGGAATATTTACAAGGAAACTTGTACTATACAAGTTTATGTACCAAGTACTAAAGGATGTAAGTGCGGAAAAAAAAAAATGGAAGTTAAAATTGTCTGTAACAAAGTTTGATAAAGAACCATTATAGAAAGCATCAAAGAATCATCAAACTATGATTGAGACAGGAGAATCCATGGCTGTATATACTGGCAAACAAATTTAGCAAGCACAGCAAGTGGAAATTCTGTAAAAGAATGAGAGTGCTCAGAATAATATGGACGATGGAGCAACAAATTTGTTTAGAATAAAAGTGGGATAGAGGAGTTGGTATCAGGTGCACAACAGGAGCATATATGGATGGGTTTTTTTTTTATGATTTTGGCAACAGACAATTCGTAAGTCTCACCCGAGCTTTGAGTAGTCAAAAGAAGTAGTTTAACTTGAATTTTAGAGTTGCATATTACTATGTCAGGTTGATCATATATTTCTTATTTAGTATTGTTTACTATTTTTCATATGCGTACCTTTTAACACATTTAATATTTAAACATGAGTAGTTTAACACAAATAAGAACCTGCAAAAGAGATGAGACCCAACCAAAAGCAAAAAAAAAAGCTCTGAAAGATTGTCTGATAGTTTTTTCTCTTTTTTCTTTTTGAGTTTGTAGTAATACTAAGGCCAAAGAATGAGTACCTGTAAACTTGACACTGCAAGCTCTGATGCTTTCTCAAGGTTATCTGGATATATCTAAACATCAAATACACCCAAGAAAAGAAATAAACATTGCTACACTCCATAAAGCAGAAGTAATTGATTTGCGATAACAAGGTCAAGTAGCAAGAAATGTGAAGCCTTACGTTGCTCCATCCCAGTAAAAGTGCTGTCATCAGATCACCACTGCCCTGCAGATTATTACCCCACCATAATGTAAAAAGATCAACATCATAAGCATTTATATTCCATGATAACAATAAAAAGATGAGCTAGTGTAGAAGACTAGCAAAAAGTTAGTTCTGCTGGCATAAGCATCTTTATTATTATGTAACAAAATCAAGATAGAGAGTATGACAAAGAATTCGATTGGCATCCATAGGAAAAAAAGAGACATCATGATTACAGGTAATTGATTAAAAAGACATATTAAGACTCAGTGGACTTCAAGGTTCAAGTTTCAAGTCATACACGGAAGAATAAGCCAGAAATCCTCCCATGTAAGTTGATATCGAGAAGCAAGCTAAATGTTGAAACACTCAGGGGTCACTTGTGTAAGCCAGTTATTTACAGGAAAAACACCATAATGACATGTTCAATATGATAGAAATGGTGTAGGACATAAGGCTTATCCACCTCCAAAAAAAATCATATTGCAAAAATGATCCATCTCATCAAAGACATCTGAAAGAGCTTGGTTGATACTAAAAAGATATCATATGAATTCAATTTGTGGACCGTTTCAAAATAGCATCAATACCAGAAATACATGCAAAACATAAAAGGAAAAAGGCAATTTACAAGAACCCAGAAAACCATTTCTTCAGTAATATGTAATGCATACCGTAAAATATGCAGGAATCTTAGGAATCACTATCTTAAACTGCTGTGGTGATTGACCCTGCAAATCAGGCAATGAGCTGATGTTGTCTTGCAACAAAATAGATATACAAGTAGCAGAATAGAATGATTAACAGTTTCACCTTTTGTACCCAAAGATTTCTATTATGCACTCTTAAAATTGTCTTTGAACAATAATTAAAACTCCCATGATGAATATGTAGATTAGCAGGCAGGCATGATTCACTAACTCAATAGTTACTGTATCCATTGGTCTGTACCATCTGTTGCTACCAACTTCACCCTTGTGATTCACATAATGTTCTAGCAAACAAACCATTATCTCTACATCTTCTGCAGGTCATCATGATTGCCATGTGTTCATCGCATACACAATTTAATTTGTTATGGCTTAGATCAGCATATCATCTATAAGAGGGTTTAACAGATTTGTTAGAACCAAGATTTACAAGCTATGTTAAGTGATAAACTTTGACAAGGAACTGATAAGCATTATACAGCCTCTGAATTACATAAAAAATAGTCATGAACAAAATCCAGAGACATTGACAATATAGACAACTTGCATCCAGTGCTTCCAAGTTATTGATCAACATAAACAAGGAAATGACAATTATTTACGCAGAGGAGACTTTGAATGATATAAGAAGCAGCAGTGTTCTGCTGTAAACCAACTAAAACAGAGAGATTGTAACAACATGCAACTGGTGATCCCAAATTATTAGTAAAAGAGCAAGAAGAAAACAAGTTTTATTTAAGCAACAAATATGCTGCTAAAGGAAGATGCATGTACCAATGACTTTCCAAAAACACCCCTTATTATGAAATAGTAAAATGAAATCCAACATATAGTACTGAAGTATTCTTTTTCTCTTTAAAAAGAGAGAAAGCTTATTTTAAGAGTTAAAGGCAAAAAAAATAGAATGATATAGAACATATCACAATGCCTCATCAGACAGCTTATTTCCATGCAAGACATAAATGGACTAGATGCAAAACTAATAGTTTAAAATTCTAAATGAAATGTATAGAGCACAAATAATCAACAAAAATTCCTTCCATATACTAGTCAAAAACTTCATTAGTGTCAATCTCCCTGCAAATAGCATCATCAGGATGTTTTAACATGCAGACTATGAACTTTGGAACAATACCTTTACTTTCTGATGACTGCCAATGAGGAAGACTTTTTCTTTTATACTCAAGCTTGTTATCACCACCTGGAGTTAAGAATTCAAATTGAATCACAACTATGCAAATGAAAAGAAGAAAACAGAATCATGGGCAGAAGAAATCATAGAAAAGAAGAAACTAAATGCTTGTTCAGTTGGTACGTCCAGTAATAATTGCAAATTTTATGGATAAATCAGGTAGTAAATTAAAGTGAAACTGGGCCTAACTGTAAAATAAGTATCACAAGTTATGTAAGTTGTTTAACTTAAATTATTTGTCGTTAGTTGCAAAGAAAGAATAATAAAATGTTTCCAAACATATGATGTTTTTTTCCGGATTGGAACACCAATCTCAACTTTCAATGTGTTGAAGAGTTATTTTTACTACTAAATAGAATCAATTCCCTTAGGTGCTTAAGTAGCCCATGAGGCAATACAAACAATGAGCCACAGATCCCAGCTATAGGGTTGACTACATAGATCATCTTCTGCCATTAAGCTCCATCAAGGGGCAATTTTGCAAGTCAAACTAACATTTATGTGGGTTCAAATATTCTACATTGTATTTGTATGAAAATGTTCCACTGGATCCTGCCTCAATTATAAACATCGATGACATAGCTGATTAGCATAGTTAATTTCATTGCTTACATAATACAACAGCAATATAGAGCATACACTTAGAACATATTCTGCATTTTGTTTACATTTATGACTCGATATCTGACACATGGTTGATGCACTTCAGCTCGATAAGTTTATAAGCAATACTTCAGCTAAATGCACTCTTTTATTTGCATTTTCCAATAATGCTGAAAAATATCCATCAATAAATAAGGTGTCAATAGTCATTATGTGGTTTATGATGGATCAAATGTCCATAAAACTAACCCCACTTGCAAAGAGCTTGTTCCGCAACTCAAAACCCAATATGTCGTGACCACCATGGACAACTGTACCACTCCAAGAAGGCACAACCTTTCAAATAATTCCATAATATAAAGACATTCATATCCAAATCATTTTGCCTAATCCTAAAACAATCAAAAGAAAGAAATATTTTTGTTTAAACCGTTTATAATTTCTTTGTAATTTTACAAACTTGGTTTCTATCAAATGCTTGGTACAAAAAACAAGTGTCTGCATGCAAGCCAAGGTTTTCAATCTTTACATGCCAGCCAACATGAGCTCTACTCCACAAGGCCACCACTACAACATGCCCAATGGCATGGCAGGGAACACCCAACCAGCATTGTGCAAACATGTGTTAACTGAAGAATATTGTCAATTAATCCAATGATCAGTGTTAAAGGGTGCATGTACGCATATGTAAAGTACGAAGAAATGTGAAATGGCACATGAGTGCAATTTATAATTCCAGAAGTCAATTACTTAAGCACAAGTAACATTTTCAAAATTTGAAGACAAATTAGTGTATGGTTGCATGAGAAGTCTATCCAGCTAGTCAAATCTAAAATTAGGCAAAGGGAGGTAAATGAGTAGCTTTCATGTAATAAAAATAAACCTTTGAAGGTCCAGCTGCATGAAGAATATTACAAGCTTTCAACCCATCACTTTCAGATGTAATTCTACAAAATAAAAAAATATTATTAAAAGAATTCAAACAAAAATAGTTCTTTCTCCTTCATTATCAAAAAATATATTCTAGCTTATCCTTTTTCAATTCCCAGCTTATTAGAAGCAAGATTCCTTTTCCAAGAACACGTGGAAACATGAGTATTCCTTTTGCAAATCCTAGTTCAAACAGCACCATAGATGATTTCTACTAGAACATCCAAAATGAAAAGTTCAGCAATTGACCATCTGATCAAATGTTACATTACAAAACCTAAGGATTACAATGCTATCCAGTCCTCTCAATTAATGATTTGATATCCTAAGAATTTTTTCATGGGGCTTTATCAAGATAATTCAAACAAGAAAAATGCAATTGTACCTCAATCCTGTTAGCAGCTCGATTTCAAAATGGTTAGGGGTAAGCATTGAAGCAACAGGAACAACCTACCAAGGAATATTGTTAGTATTTTCCAGCTGAATTTTAATAAGGTAGTAAAGAAAAGAAAGGAAAAAAATGGAAAGCACTATCTACTATCTAGCAAGTCTGATATATATAGCCGAAGGAACAACTTGATATGAAGGTCTTGTTCAAGTCATAATATAGTAAATACTGGGAAGCTCTATAAATTCAATAGAAGACAAATACAGGTCTTTTTTTGTTTTGTTTTGTGATTTCCATAAGTTGCATATGGTAGCAAATTGTGAAGGTGAACCGAAAAATTATGTGTAACTTACTGTCATCTCTAACAAAGTGGATTTTCTCTTGAGGAGCTAGCATATCGGGATGACAGTCATCTCGTTGGAAGTGCTCTACCATCCACCAAGTGGGTTGCCAGTTGGTTTCCTTGGTGTCAGTGATTTTTATTCAATTGGAAACTCTAAAGCCTTTAATATAAACTTGGAGGAGCCAAGCAGCATAATAAGTAATCTGCTGGAGTGGCGTCTTATCCCCAATATATATATATATATATATATATATATATATATATATA